TTTAACGGACACGTTGTACAATATTATTTTAGAAGCATTGTTTTCATCTGGTAGATCTACGTGCATGCGTTTTAGACTTCAACTGTTTTCATTAAAACCACTGGTTGACTGTTGACTAACTGACTGCAGCGGGGCAACACCATACCTGTTAAAATATGCATCTTTATTGCTTACTGACTGAAGGTTGGTCAGAGTCCCTTGCGTTTCTCCATCCTGCTGCTGGGCGGGCGGTTGTGACGTGTTGAATTGTTCCAGGGGTTGAATATTTTCCATTTGGGGTGGAAATGGAAGCACATCTCCATTCATTGCTGTGAACTGATCTGAAGTCACCATTTAGAACGTGGGCTGCTAACACTAGTAGACCTCCCAACGCGGAGAGACTTGTTGAGAACATACTGCTTTCGCTGCAGCACTACACTTTCACTGAGGACTAATATAATTCGTTATGCACAATAAACAATACTGATTCACTAAAAAAACAACAACACCGTTTGAAGCATGGGTAGCCGCTGGTAGCGGCGCCCGTTTGTACTTGCACTAAACATGAGCTTGAGCGTAACACTGAAGCACAGCGATAAGCGGAGCGATGCTAGCTCTACGACTGCCTTCATCCTCTGACTTAATGCCGAAGTAAGCATGACACGAATTCCTTACAAAATTCGTTTGTAAGGAAGTTTTAGTTCAAATGAGCCACATATAACAAAAAACTGTTCGGGCCACTTTCACATATTCTAGATGAACTCTCCATTCTTTGAAACATTTTCCCCACCGTTTACACCCTTTGTTACTAACAGATCTTGCTAAATACCAGAGCACAACTAATTGACTGAAACTGGGGTTAGAGAACGATCAACTTATCTTCAAACAGTACCATTTGGTTTCTAATATATAATCGTAGCAAGTTACTGTAATACATTGCCAGAGCTCAATTGAAATTTAATCAAACGTAAATTTCATAGAATCTGTGGTCAATGTGAAGAAACTGAACCCACATATCTAATTTTGCTGCAACACAACTTCCTAACACTAATCGTGTAGCCCTATGTTATGTACGACGTAGCGCGTGCTAATTTGAAATTCGAAAAACCGAAAATGTTGCAAAACTGTACGTCATAAAAAAACACTAAAATTTTATATGTAACCGAAATGAGAATCGTCAAATACCAAATCGGCAGTAACCAAAACGGAAAATTGTCGCAGCTCTATGTAATCTATTAACCGATAGACCTTGACACACGAGAAACGCGGAGAAACGGAAGGTATCCCTTTTACGAGTGCCATCAAGATGGTGGCAGTGGCACACTCACAGTGAAACGACACGAAGGATTTAGAGCGTCTATCGCCGTGAATGCAAACAATCAGAAACACGGTCGATACTGCAGAAATACTGCACCGTGGTCTCAAGTGGTTGAAATATACGAGTTCTGTATAAAATAAAGTAAAAGACAAGTCAAATGATAATAAGAATAACAACAAAACTACCGTGATTTCATGATCTAACCCTTTATACTACATGTAAAACCTTGATCCGATTTCGGCTAGGTCACTGGGGTGCTAGGCAGCTAGATAGATAGGTCGAATTCACCCACAGTCTGGAGGACGATTCCAGCGGTCGGCTGCTCTATCGCTAGTTTTCTGTGATTTCTCCGACCAACGCCAGTTGGATTCCAGAGCAGAACAAATGGGCTACAAACTGCGTGGGACACATGTTCACTTACTTGCTCTACACTACCACACAGATCGAGAGGCCAGTCGGGAGGTCGGAGCTTGTTCCGATTGGGGCGGCGCCCCGCTGGTGCGAAATTCCTGGTTAGGAGAAACCCACATGCCGACGTGTCTCACCAACGACGCCCACACCATCGCAAGTCCACCTATCGTTGCGCGGGCACTCACCTTCCAGCGGGGAAGATCACTGTCGCCTCCCGTGATAAAAGCCAGCAACACTCTTATGGGACCAACGGGCATAGCAGTTGGCGCGACCGGAAACAAGAGATAATCAATCAGTTCAGATCCATTTTCATTACTACTCTCTTGTGGTCAGGGCCGGATTTAAGTTGTGCGGGGCCCCAAGCACAAAATTGTGTTGGCCCCCCCTCCGAAAAAATAGCTCCTTCTTTATTAAATAAAAAATGTATTATAGTACAAGTACTTTCTGCACAGATACAAATGAAAACCCATAATTTTTATAGAAATTTTTACTTGTGTTTCATTTTTCTACATTAAATACATTTTACATAATTTTTTTTCTGCTCTTCGCGGCAAATTTTGAGGTTTACATAAAAAATTTACATATTCAGTTATAAGTAAAGGAAATAAAGTATAGTTAATATTAGACTAATTTAACATGTAATGAATATTTTTAAAAAATATTTTGAAATTGTACATTTTGTTACGCAGTAGACTACTTGATTAACAATTATTTCACAGACAAATAAATATGGTATGCGTATTTTTCCGAAACCACTGATGCTTGACGTAATTTGCATAGAGATCTACGAAGCACACATGGGAAAGTCAAAACTAAAGGGAAAAAATACATGGTTTCATATTTTCTGGAATATTTTGCGTTTGAAAATTAATTGCCTATGAAGTAAATATGATTTACAATTGAGAAAAGAAAGGTTATCTTTATTCGGTAAGTACAATATTACAGAATTCCTGCTTTTTCCACTTTACATCAAGGAACATTCCTATATAAATTTACTGGAGACTAAACAAATAAATATGCCAAAAATCACAAAAGTATTTTTGTAACAATTAGACACACATACAATACACCATTAAAATCGAAAGATTTTGAAAATACTATTAATATCAAAACCAAATATTTCTTATTACCATTAATTTTCCACCTTCATTGTATTACAAAATACTACTTACATTTATACAATTCATATTGATTTGTATTAACTTTTAGGATAAATATTTAGGAATCACACTGCCTTACTGAATGAGAGCATAAAGAAAAACTAATTATAGTTCTGAATTTAGTAAGAGTCTAGTTCATAGAGTATTTTTTCCATTATTTGGGTATACTTCACAAAGCAATATATTATATTTTCGGATGTGTATTGTAGCACAGCACCGGAATAAATTTGAATCCTGGAGAACAATTTCTTTGTTTACACGAATAATTTTTATTTGCTTGGGGGAAAACCTTACACAACCTTCTAACCTTAACATTATTTCCTCGTAGTTGCAAATGCATACCAGCTGCGTTTAGTAAATCAATATACAGCAGGATAAGTTTAAAGAGGTCTTTTGAGAGAAATCTCAAATAATGTTTCGTAGATGTAGATATTTGTTTGGGTGATAAAAAGAATGTTTGGTAAATATTTCGTTTTAAAAAATTTACGGGCTGTATGAGGAACATTGAAAATAAAAAGTGAGTGGGAGTATGCCGACAGTGTCTAGTTGTTTCCATCAATTGCGTTTCTACAGAGAAAATGTGTTATTGGCAATACAAGACTAGCCAAAACCCGAAACGTGTCAGATATGTTTATTAAATGATCATTATAAATTACATGTATTAGAAAAATGTATTAGTTCAACAGGATATGAAACTCCAGCATATCTCAAATGTAAGGAAGGAAACAAAATAGGTATATGGATGTTCACGATTTGCGTGTTAACTGTATACAGGAACTGTAAGCAATTGTATGTGTTAACTTTCCGGCACAAATATAGCGTGATGACTACTATCATTTCTCTATCTACATCTAGAGTGGTGCCTATTATTTTAGAATAGCTGCCCTGACCTTTTCGAAATTTGGACACTGCTGAGAGGACACAGCCTCTCTACCAACATTAACTCTGTTTCTTTGAACTTTGAGGTAGAACTTGTTACCGAATACTACGGTTGTTTTATTATGACTGTTTTATTTTATTCGTGATTTTCCTCTTTCTATTGAACTGTCATCCATGACTATTCATCTGGCAAGTCAAAATCGTCCGATTTGGCTGACAGTTGAGTCGATTCCCTTCAGATTTTCCCATAAACATCTGTAGAATGCCCTCTGCATATTGTTTTGCTTAACCCAGTCATCTACCCCCATCTGCATGAGTTATATCTTATCAAAGCTTTCTGTCTGTCTATGTTTTAGTAAAAATGTAAGTAGTGAGAAGAAAGTACATCTAATTTCCCCCACTTTAAAATGTCTTCTTTTTGTCTCCGTTTGATTTGCCGAAAGTTCTTCTGTAGCTCTCTGCGTGAAACGGTGTGTAAGTAATTTGGTGGGATACTTATTGAACTTTTGCTCTTTGTAAATGTTTGAAGTTCCCTTCATCTTGAGTTCTTCGAGATCGTTTTCTAAGGTTAGTGCAAAACGGCTGAGTTTCTCGACAGGGGAAGCTCTGTATTTTCTACAATCACAGTGGGTTCCTCAAGAGGAGAAGTCAGTTTTCTTCCCTTCGTCAATGAAAGCTGAATGGAAGTTTACTCGATAGCGAAGATCTGTCATTACTTCACTCTGATATAGATCTTTGAGCCTGAAGCTGCAACGATACCCCCTTTTGGTTGAGTTCTCCGAGAGTCGACATCCGATGTTTCCCATCTTTAACAGCATCCTTCAAAACTAAGAGAGGTTCCCTCAAGAGGAGAAATCAGTTTTCTTCCCTTCGACAAATTCTTTAGTTCTGATGTTTCATATCTCGAACAGCGTCCTTGGAACTTCAGAGAAGTTACAAGGAGGTTACCCTCCGATAAACATCTTGGAGTCTAAAGCTGAAATGATACCTCCTTTTGACTGAGTTCTCCGAGAGTTGACATGCTATGTTTGTCATCTTCAAAAGCGTCCTAAAAAACCTAGAAAAGGTCCTTCAAGAGGAGAACTTTGTTTTCTTCCCTTCCAAAATGATACTCGTGTTATTCAGAAGCGAAGATCTGTCATTACTTCACTCTGACGTACGTCCTTGAGCACCAGAACTTTGAAGTTACCACCTCTCAATTGAGTTCACAGGGAGACAAAGGAGATGATTCCTATCTCTAAACAGGAGCTTGTTTACTTCACTTCCACCGCCGCCTTAACGAACGACGCCATCTCCACCGCCTCGAGCGCCACGGTCGCGGGCGGCGGCGGCTGCAGGGGCAAGGCCGTGGCGGCGGCGGCGGAGGCGGGGGTGGAGGCGCAGAGCGGCGGGCCCAGGGCAGCCCTCAGCCTCTGCCACGCCGTCTCCACGGCCGCGCCGCCTCCGGGGTCTCCCGCCGGCCACTCCAGGAAAGTGCGCGTGTCCAGCAGAATGCGCAGCAGGCGCGGCAGCGTGCGCGTCTCCAGCCGCTCTAGCTCCACCAGCACCAGGAAGTCGCTGGCGCCCTCCAGCAGGTGCTGCATCGCCATCTCCAGCTCCCACTGGCACCACTGAGCACACAAGACACAAATCAACTACCATCACAACTCTCCAGCAGGTGGTGCGTCGCCATCTCTAACTCCCACTGGCACCACTAAGCACACACCAGCCCTCAAACAAGGAACGCAGTACGAGCAGTAATAATAATAATAATAATAATAATAATAATAATAATAATAATAATAATAATAATAATAATAATAATAATAACAATAATAATAACAACAATAACCAAACGAAATGGTTCAGTGCCTAGCGCGCTGACTTCGCAGTGAAAAGGCCGAAGTGCATTTGTTAGTTTTAAGTTAAATTTATTATCTTCCTTCAATCTATTTCCTTTCGTAAGAACTACCGTAATATTAAGCCCGTAACATATATTTTTCTTCAAGACACGCATACCCTCCGTCACTTGTTTTACAAGTTAGTAATTGTACTAACTGAACGTACTTTAGCATAACAATACATTACTCTCTTGACAATCCAAACAATTCATATTAAACTTTATAAACGAACAGAGACGTTCACCTGTGCAATTTAATCGCATTATATATATATTAAGTATTTCACATACAGTAGCAAATTCTGCACGTCCCTAAACAGATGACGTAGAATCGAGGAGCCCCGAAGCAGCAAAAATGTAACAGAGTGTTCAAGATGACCCCATTCTGTAGATGAAGACGCGGGGAAAGTTTATTTGAGCTCCGGCCTCAATATTCCAGGTTATCAGGTCACAAAACGCTTTTGTTTAGAAGTTATTTAACTACATCAATTTTTTAACAATGCTGCTACAGTGATGCGGATTGCATTTTACATGACTATTTGGATGCTCTTTTTAACCGGTCCTTCATATTTTTAAAGTTGAAATGCAATTTATTACGTCTTCGTAAAATTTCTTTTCTTTAGAGCTCTTATTTATAAAGATTGGTTGAATGTGAGAATTGCAAACTCATCTGCAATACAGAAATAATGTAGGAGAGGCTGAAATTTATATCATACAGTGATCATGGCATGTTTTCGAAGAATTTTGAAACCTCTTTGTTGCTATTTTGCGAAATGAGAACACATCAAACGTAATACGCGAAATTCGAATTTAAAATTCCGATTATTTATTTATTTTTTGCCATTTTCGAGTATACAGGTGCGCCTAAAATGGAACTATCATCACTCTCTTTCAGTTCTTTGCTACATACGATGAAAAAATGTAAAGAAGGAAATTGTAGCCGTTTATTTAAAAATAGTTTTTGAAAATTTGCCGATATGACGCATAACACGCAAAAATAGCCATATTTTCGAAAAGTTGAACATGTCTTTATTTGAAGATCACTTTTTGATGAATTTATTTCATTGAAAGAAAAAAAATCTTCATAATTGCAGTTGAAGGAAGACTCTGGGATTCTAAAGAGACCTGCACCATTCTCTTAAGCATATTTTACGCTATTCGAAATAAAATTTAATAAAATAATGTAGTGCGATTTTTGTGTAAATTTTGAAAATTGAAATTGAAAAGGGGTTTCTGTAAAGTACGCCAAAACGATATATTATCTGTTTCGAATTCAAGAGACAGCAGTCAGATCGATTGAAGGATATCAATTTGAAAGAAACTCTGCGAAGCGCCTTGCCGCTAGAGGTGTTTACAGCGACAGACGAACGAACGAACGGTACGGACTGACAGACACGAGCAGACGTTTTGCCAATCGACTTTTTTTGTATCAAGAACCCACAAAACATGGATTCTGACTACCCAACGTGTTAGAGAAAGTAATTTACAATATATATACAGTATATATATATAGGGAGAAGTTTTATCTCCTTTTTTGTTATCAGAGCTTGCCAATAAGAAGTTTTTGTCGAAATTTAGTTTTTTTTCTGGCAGCATTACAAAAATTTTTCTATACTACGTAAGCAGTAGCGAGAAAGTAAAAGACAAATCGTAATTATTAAGAGTTTCAATAAAATAAGAATCTCACCGACTCGGTCTTCGACTAGAGATTAAGTCGATTATCGGTTTCACTGGTTATCTGGCGAAAATTACCTACAAGACCTAGGATCTTAATAACACATTAAATAATGTTTTTAATTTAGAAATATTTGTTAACTTTCTCTTTTTCTCGAAGTGTTATTCATGCGTTTCTGTGGGGTTTCGATTGACGTATCTAAGTCGTGTAATGCGAGTTTTTGCATCATCTCGGCAATTTCCTTCCAATTTTTCTCGCAATCGTTTGTGCATTTATTGACATCTCTATTCTGGAATCAATATCTTCATGTTTCCAATCAATTTACATTTTATTCCATTTTATGAAATATTGTGAAGCAATGTCAAAAGCAAGCATGGCGAACCGAGAGATTCTTTCCAATATATCTAAAACAGAAATTTTTCATTTACTTTAAGTAGCTGATTACTTTGCATTACACAGGCATTTATTTATTACTATTATACATCAGTTGTTAAGACACTGAAAACGACAAACTTAAACGTGGAATCTAACAAGAACAAAATTTAAAACTAGTGGTGTTACAGAATGAAACATATTTTCTAGTACGATAAGTTTCCTTTAGTCTAGACTAACGTTTTGGTATTGCCCTACTCTCTTCCTCGATGCCATATATCGGCATTGAAAAACCATTTTTCATATTTTCTCAATTTTGTGGTACACTAATAGTAGAATTGAAATGTGACTTTGAGAATATTATATAAGAATAAAACCTGGTTCTTTGTGCACATATTGGTTGACAACTTTTGAACCGTTTTGAGAAAATGTCGTTTGAGCTTTTCAAAAAATGCACAAATTTAAGCTCACGTACACAAAAAAATTGAGTTTTCGAGAAACTTCATTGGTTATGATTTGAAGCGCTTCCACACACAAATGCTATAACATATAAAGAACGTATGTAATGTATTTATAAACGACGTGAGAAATATTTCGAAAAAATACATTTGTGTAATTTTACATAAATGTAAAGAACAAATCAAAACGGAATCAATGACAAATTATTCGGTGTATTTAGCACTATCCTTACAAATTAAAAAAAAACAATTAGTTGTTTTTTTGGAGAGAATGGCGTTTGAGCGTTCCTGAAAATGCGGAAATTTGAGATCATTTTCACAGAAAACTTTATGAGACATCATTCAATCATTTCTACTTATAATGTGCAATACAGTATACAAACTGCCGGTAATGTAAATATTAACGACGTGAAAAACATTTTAAAACTTTCATTTGTGTGTTTTTCTTCATAGGGCAAACAACAAAAGAATACAGCAAAATGACGTTTATATATCCTATTAACATGCCTTTTGTGCTATCTCTCCAAAATTTTGAAGAAAAAATTTCGATCTGTTTTTGAGAAAGTCCAGATTTTTTATTGTCCATGTTTAACTCAAAATTATTTGAAAAATATTAAAGTTTTCAAAAAATGTACATGATGTCAATGAAAGAACTAATTGTGGAGAACAAATTTCTTTGTAAGAAAAAAACGCTATCTTCAATATTGTAGTTGTAGGAAGACGCTGATAAAAATACAAACTTTTGTAATTTTGCGAAAATAGAATTCACTGTGAAAGTCAGATCTATGCCAGTTTTGTAAATGTATGTTTTTCAATATATTCTTAGAGGAGGTAAAAAGAAAATATGGACTCATTTTTGAGAAACTTTTGAAGATGTACCAGGGACTTCATTTACAGTAACCAGAACATTTAAAAAATATATTTCCAAATTGAGTATTGAGTCGGGCCAGTTCGATCGGGAAATATTCAATTTGGAAAAAAAGTCTTTTAAATAGTTCAGGCAGTGTTGTACATAAATGGACAGACGTATGCTGAATGTTGGGCCGCACAGAGCTAGGTGAGCGTCAGCAAATAAGCTGAAGCAACTTCCTGCTTCTCTGTTTTTCCCATTCAAGACTCATATTAAGGATGCCACGATGGGCGGAAAATAACGTCACGGGAATAAAATGTATTTTGCCTCATAACTTCACCTCATGGGCAAAATTTGAGCTCTTTTTCTCAGCACTTTGTTGATGGTAGATTTTTCCCGGTGATTTTTCTAGTGGCGGCCGCTCATGTCGAAAGTGTTATTATAGAATTATCCCATGTGATTTATACATTACTTTATGAATTCTGTTAATCTGGAATTACAATCCCCAGTATCATAGCCGGCTTGCTTCTCAATTTTCTTCCATCACTTAGAGCAAGCAGCCCTCTCCCCAATACTGCTAATAGAACAGGTAATCTCATCTGCTAGTTGTTTTGCCAACTGATTACTGCCAACTGGATATTGATTAATACAGATTTGTTGGACTTACATTACCAAATAATATAATTTCCATGAAATGTACGACAAACCAGCGAGTAAAGCACATATTAGAACAAATAAGATCGTCCATAACATCGCATTTGGCCGATCTCGAGGTCCAGGGACATGATGCATTACACCCACAGAATATACGAAGGCTGTAAGATCAAATCTCGAGTATGGCACGGATATTTGCAGCTGCATGTTGTTTATTCCCACCTGGTAATGCTCTTTCCCATCCAGGAAACCAGTGCGCCAGTGTAATTTAATTAGTGGGCGCCGTGCAAAGGTCCGGGACCCCTGTTGCTGGCGAGACTTGGGAACAAATTAGACTCGCAAGCACAAACTCGTTCTAAGTACTGATGGACTCAGGAACTACACTTGCCAGGAAATACTACGGTACTATGTCCGCCAGACACAAGACTTACACGTCACATTGGCGCTGTGGCTGAAATAGAGTATTTCTATCCTGTCATGATCATCACTGCCATGATCATTAGTTCTAGAAGTGTAGTGCGGTGGTTGTACTGGATGGCGTGATCCCATGCGTGGCATCTCGGCTTGCGGCTTTTCCTCTTACGTGTATCTGCCACCAGCAGCGCGGCCCACAACCACCCAAGGGACAAACTGTGAGCTCCCGACAGGTCTCTCGACATGTATGGTAGCGTAGTACATGAAAGCGAAAGTGTGAGCAAGAAAAGAATGACTACATATAGGATAATAAAAAGTATAGAAAAATATCTCGCACAGGTTAATTAGGCTACTGCTCCCGCATTAGTGTAGTATTGATTGGAGAGACCACGGAAAACTACAGAGCAGGCTGGTTCTAGATTTCTCTCCCAGACGGCGCGGCGGTTGAATTTGGCTCAGCTATCTAGCGAAAATCCTGCCAGCGCCGGAACTCGCACCCTAGGACCTCCCAGTTAGAGCTACAGCGGAGACGTGAGGTAATGAGCCAACCCAGCCGCATGATGGTTAAGGAAGACCGGTGAAAGGTAGAAGCCAGGATTGGGACTCGGTATGAAGAACATTAGATATACTCTCAAAGGTGTAAAGAATGGAAACAAGAGTGCCATAACCCTAGACACACTGTACGGGTGTGTGCCGTGACTGCACGCAGCAATCGAGACGTGGTGGAACACACCCGTGTGACGGTAACGGATGGGGTAAGAACGTCCATTGTCGGGAGACCTGCATAGTGCGTGGCGCACACTGATAACTGCCGAAGATGGTACCTGGCTGTCGACGAACGAAGGCGTGAGCACCATGAGCGTGCGCCGGCTGCGCGCCATGCACTCCACGATGTTCTGCACGATGAGCGACCCCAGGGGGAAGTCCCGCTCGTGCAGGCAGAGGCGGTAGCGCGGGTTGCCGCCCTCCAAGCGCGGCAGGAGCTCGCCCAGCACCCACGCGCGGTCGTGCTTGCTGCACAAAGTCAGACAAATAATAAGAACATACGTAAGCATTTGGCATTTTTGGGTCGGATTAACCTTAAGATTCATGGATCCGGGGAACTACAGGAATTCATACGGTAGGCCTCTGAGGCCCTGCGCAATAAGCTCTCGAAAATGCACAAAGAAATTACAATTGTACAACTGCACAACAATTGTACAAACGGACACCAAATTAAATTCTTAATAAATTAGTTTCTTAACAATTTCAATAAAAGTCAACACTTAATGTTGAAGAAATTATGATTGGTTTAACTAAATGTTAATAGGGCCTTAAATAACAATGAATAGGACCTTGAGTAACTATTAATATGGCCTTACAGCCCTTCCGTCATAGAATCAAATTTCAGAACCTACATATATAATTTTTTACAATATTTTTCCTTTGCCAGTGACCAAAATGAAAGTAGAAATATACATGGAGGGTAAGCTCTGACAAATGCAGAGTAAAAAGAGAAATAAAAATAATATTAGCATGTAAATGCATCATAGGGTTAATCCAACTTTTCCCAGCTATTAGTGTTCCCGGGTCTATGTTCAGTATTTATTTATTTATTATCCACACCTGTGGGTAAGGGAGGCACCTGATAAGTATCTCGTATTACTTTAACCTTATATAGCATACATGGACAATTCTTTCGTCAAAGAGCAATAGAACTGAAACAATTGTAGAGGAAAAGTATACCTCTATTTTTGTTCTTGAAATTAATTAGTTTGACTAGCCTGGTAATAACAGCATATAATTTTACTTATAATGTTGCTCTCGAAACATAATTGCAACACTATATTATTATTTCAGTATTTTGATGTTCTGTTAAAATATACAAGTAAAATCAATTTATTGCCTGGTCGAGGAAAAAATAGAGTTGAAATTAATTTGTCTCAGTTTTGAATATTTTAGGCTGGAAATATTTGAACTTAATCAACTGTTCTATTGAATATATAATACACACTCTTTTGGTGAATATCATTCCAGTAAGCTAGCACCAAAAACACTTGACCAATGTTACAAATTTACTGAATGTTTAATTCTTCCGCAACAGCTAATGCATCGTTCACTGTCCGTTTGCCTTTCTCTTGAGGTCATTTAAATAAGAACACTTTAATCAAACTGAAATCAAATATATTATTCATGAATTCATGTAACCAGAATCAATCGACAAATATTATTACCAAATATATTACCTTCTCCGCTTCCGTGGATTGTTCCTTACAATAAAACTACCAATTAATTTGCTTATGTATCTTCCTTGAAGTTCCGTTAAACTTCCAATAACCTGAAGTAGTTATTATGTGTGATTTAAAGCCAGAATGTCACATAAATTTATCCGGCTTACATTCAAGCTTCCATTTTCTAGCGAACTAGACCCAGTTCCCCTCAGCAATACTCGTGTCCATAGTAATCGACACTACATCCTGAAATTGTTCCTTTTATCCCAAGAGATGCTTGACGTTGGTTACTGAATTGCTTGGTTCCATCAAGTCACGGATGTTAAGCAACTCAAGACATCGCGGGTTCCTGGATGGGTGCCCGTTTGGGTACCTCGGAGACTTACTGCGCTGAATCTCCGGTCGAGGTGATAAAAACAATGACTGACAACGACTGGCGATGACTAACTTAACTCCTCGTTCGACCCAAGTACGAATAGTTAGAGAACATCGTTCCAAGAGAAAGTTACGCAACGTACCTGTAGCAGACGAAGGCGTCGAACTCCCTCTCGGCGTCCGCGGCGTCGGGCAGGCGTCCTGCGCGGCGCGCTCCGCCCACGCGGTGGTTGGCGCGCAGCACGTGCACCACGTACGTCAGCTCGAGGCGGAAGCGCAGGGCCAGCAGCGCCAGCGCGCCGCCCACCGCCGCCACCACCGCCACGGACACCGCCGCCACCACGCCCTGCCGCCCGCCCGCCTGCGAGCAACCCACACAGCCAAACGGTTTACAAGCGCTCGGAACGATCGACTGATTAGTTTGTGTTTCTGGGCCCGCAAACTGCTATGGTAATGTGGCCCATACGTGTTGTGTATCGTGTCGTGTCTCGTGAAGGGGCTGTGATCTTCCCCTTGGACGATGAGATCCGGCGCCAACCTAGTAGAGCTTGCAGGGTTTCCCAATCCAGGCCGCATGCGGCCCAGAATGTCATTTATTGTGTCCCTTGAAAGGTTTCTTATCAAAAATAAAAGATCCTTGCATCCATGTCGGGTGAGAACATTGCGCGCCTAGAGCATGTGCCCTATCGGAGTCAACACCCTTTAATGTAAAAATAGGTTAAGTTTAGATATAAGATTTTTTCTAGTAAATCCAGAAATTTCACTGAGTTATGATTGGTACGCCCTGATATCACACATGTTCCACCCCACACGTTTCAGAGGAGCCCAGGAACGGGACGAGATCAACAATACAGGGAAGTCAGGTGTGGATTGCCAGAGTAATAAATATATAACCAAATTAAAGGTTTTAGTTGTAGCTTTGCATTTTGAACCACTCTGGTATGTAAGAGTAAATGTGTGCAAATAAGGGGTGAGGAAAGGACGTGAAAGAGGAAGGTAAGATCGCACATGAAGCGTGGCTCGTTTATTAGTGTACGCCGAAAATTTTGCCTCCGTCGAGAGTCGATCCCTAAGACCTGCCAGTCAGACACAGTACAGTGACAGCAGTTGATGCCCTGAATCACCTCAGCCTGTGAAATGGTCGTAAATCTCCCTGCAGTAAGCCTTTCTACCGCATTGCGACATGCCGTTCTGACAACTCCTCACAGTGCACACAATGCAAACGTTTAAAAAACGGTTGGCAGAAAACCTGTGGGCCAGTGCATTACATAGTGCTATCCTCATGCCTGCAGACACCCACATTCGCAAAAGGTGTATATCAGTAAACGTAGAAAAAGCTCACTGCGCATGCGTTAAATGTAAAATCTCATGTGCTTTCTCCATAACCTTCGATTGTCGTCGCGCCAGATTCTCTCCGCTATTCAACATGATGTCACCTTGCATTCTGTGCAGGTGACAGTTTATGCGCTTCGATCACAATTGAAGTGTTTGGGGCAGTAACAAGAAAAGCCACTCCACTCATAGCAAGCATCCATATTACTCATCCAAGCATCGTAAATGTTCAAACCGACTTGAGGGTCATGGGGTAGTAATAAGCCCGAGTCACAGTTCATAAAAATCGATATATTAACATTTAAGGATAGCGGGAGATTGGCTACTTCTTGTGGGGCTTATCTTGTTACTGCCCTAACTTCTTCAATTGCACGATCCGCAGTTGGTGACATAAGGGTAACATTCGCCAAGTCATCGGCCGGAGAAAAGTTGGAAAGCTATTTGGAAAGCTAGCCCTCACGATTTTTAACGACGCAGTACGTCTGCAGTTTACCTCCTAACTAACAATGGATTCTCTCAATACCTGTAGCTGCATTCCAACAACGTGTGCAGTCCGCTGAATGGAATCGTGTAAAGAGCACCCACCTGGCGACAGGCTTCCAGTACAGCTCCCTGCAGGTCGACGACCGGGCGGCCGCGTTCCGAGGCCGGGTACCTGCAGGTCAGCGGACGGTCCTCTCCCAGCACCAGGACTTTGGGGCGCGCCTCCTGGCCCAGCCACTCCTGCAGCCCCAACACAGCGCACCGACTGCAATCGATGGGGTTGCCGCCCAGGTCCACCTCGCGCAGTACCTGCAGCGGGAAA